CTTTCAACTTCTCCCTGCCCTCTGCAGGGTGGACCTTTAAAGATGCCCTTTTTACCAGCCAGTTTATCATGTTACCCTTCCCCTTTATATTTGCTTTTGAGAAACAGAAAACAGAAAACTTGTGATGACTTGGGCAACACCTGTGAAGAGTCCTTTGCCGCCCTAAATCCTAACCGGTTCTGCCACTGCGCTTATACAGTCTTGCAGTCAGCACTGTCAAACAACTATTCCCTCTACCTTGCCAACCAACACCATGCAACTGGGTTTAGCCCCAGCACTTTCTCTCCTTTCTTCTAATCCCTTCCTCTCTCTCTTTCACTTATCTGACACTATCCAGATCTCCATTTCACCCACATGGGCCTTACCTGGGAGTATTCTGCTGCTATTATTATTTTGCATTTCAATGGCAATCATTCTTTCAAAATATTATGCTAGCCTTTTTACCATAGGCATAGAAAACTCTAGAACTTAAGTTTTCGATGTGGGAAGTACAGTGCCTGTACTCCAAAAGAAGAGGGAGGGGAATTATTTGAGGTTCAGAAGGTCACTTGATTTGTGATATCAGTGCACCTTTGGCAGAACAGTTATTGAATGAATGATAATTAATATATTTACTACTTTAGATTACACTACCATAGTGGGCAACAGTAGTTTTTTTTTTTTTTTTTAACACTGGCTGTCCCCCACCAAGGTAGGTGACCTAGTGAAGAAAATAACTTTTACTGTCTCTCATTTAAACACTGTCTTGGGCAAAAGTGTGCGACATTACAGTTCAGATGACTGTCTAAACCACAAAACCCCACCCCTCCTTCAGAGTGCCGGCACTGTACCTCCCACCTCCAGGACTCGAGTCGAGCTAATTGGTTTCCCTGAGCCCCTTCATAAATCTTATGTTGCTCACACTCCAACAGCACATCAAATCATAAAAAACCACTTGCCTACACTTACTCCTGTCTTTTATGTTCACACAGGTCTGTTGCATATTGAAATCCCTAGCACTTAAAACTTCTTTTACCCCCCCTTTCCCCCTTCCTTCACTTACAGCCTTCCCAAGGATGACCCCTACACTGCCTTCCCTCCACCCCAGATGTATACCCCCTCTTAGTCATCCTATTTTTCTCCGTCCTCTCTATAAGTCAGGCTACCTCAGCAACCCCTCCTTAGCCCTCTGAATAATACTTTTGGTAACTCCACACCTCCTAATCTCCAAACTCTGAATTCTCTGCATGATATTCACACCACACATTGCCTGTAAACACATCATCTCCACTGCTCTCTGCTGCTGCCTTCTCCTCTACAAAATTCTAAACCCATGCTTCACATCCATACAATAGTGTTGGTGCCACTATAATCACCCCTTATAAATATGAGTGTGAAAAGGAAGCCTATTCAACATTTTTTGCTCTGGCAGGATTGTGGGTCTTTTCTTTTTTTATTACAGTTTAAAAACTGTAGTGTAAAGTACCCTTCTGGCAAGACAGTGATGGAGTGAATGATGGTGAAAGTTTTTCTTTTTTGGGCCACCCTGCCTTGGTGGGAATTGGCCAGTGTGATAATAAAAAAAAAAAAAATCTTACAAATTTCTTCTTAGTCATTATAAATTTTTTTCTTAAGGGGGGCTTTATTTGAGACCAGGCTGTGGGAATGATGATCCATTGAACCTCTTTTTTGTGGTTGCAAGAGAGACTACATTTATGGTGTTCTGTGTAAGAAATTTAGAGGAATTTTAAACTTGCATTATGATATAACAAGATGACAATAATAGCTTGAAAAACTTTGTCTTTTCAGAATGAAGACTTCACAACAAAACTATCAGTATCCTTAGAGCGTGCCAACAAGCTTGACTATCAAGTACAGCAGGTCAGTATAAGTGATTCTTCTATGTATATAGTTTTGGACTAGTAAATTTAATGTTTTCAGTACTTTTTATGATAATGAAAATCTATTTTTTTTTTATAATTTGATTGTACTAGATATGATGTAGCAAATGCAGTGGGTAATTTTGTTTAGTAAATTATTGTTGATGTGCATGTATTTGCCTTTTTTGTGCTAGTTGAGATTGGGTCTTGAGTCTGGGCCTCCAGTTAACCCGAAAACTTTCACAAGTTTTTTGATTCAAGGGTCCTGTCATATCTACCCTTAAAACTGTATGTTTGCTTCAACTGCCTCCTCATCTGTCATTTCATCTCCTGACTACTTTGAAGCATAAGTACTTTCTGACATATTTGTGACAAACTCATGTGTGTCTTTAATTTCCAGTTGTGTCCCATGTTCCCACTCCCAGTCTTTCACATAGTCTGACCCTGTCTACCCCTGTAAAATCCAGAGTGTCCGATATGTTTTTATGCCTCTCTGGATCTTTTTAGTTCTGAGACCATCAGGTTTAGCTCTTTTTGCCTCTCCTTGTAGGTTAACTTTCTTAGCAATGTGTAGCAGGAAGAAATGAGATAAACCTAGTTTATAGACAGTCTTGATGGTTTGGGTTACAATACTCTTTATATTCGTGAAATAACAATTATTATTAAATTTTCAGCTAACACAATCTCTTCAAGAACTAACTACCTCCAAAGAGGAAACAAACCACAGATTAGAAAAGGAAACTGCACTGGTAAAGAAATTGCAGGAAGCAAATGATTGCATCTCACAACAAACATGTGAATATACCACCAAGATTTCATCACTGAGCAGTGAGCTTCAGGCACAGCAAGATGTACTGTGCCAACTTCGTGAAAGTGTGGAAACAAAAGAATCTGAACTGCAGGTAAGATAAGTCAGAAAAGAAGTATTGGAGGTGGAGTTAGAAATTTAGAAGTATATGTAAATTGCAGAGATACCAAATTAATTGAACTTTGATGCAAGTTCCAAATATAAATAATTTTAATGATTGATATGTAGTGACCTCAAGAAGTGCAGTAACAATAATAAGGCATAATGGCATTTGATAATAAATGGTAATTTTTTCAGATTTACAAGGAGTGTTTAAAACAGATTCAACTAACCTCGAGTGATGATCATGCAGCACCTAATGAGGAGAAGCTGTCAGCACTCTTTGATGTCGTAAGAGTAAGTTCTCTATATAGAAATATCCACATGATAAATTTGTGAAAAATTGTGATTCAATGAATTGCAAAATTAGTGAAGTCATTTCACTAGTTGTTACTTGTTAGTTCCATTTATACTAGAATAGTCCCCTGCAGAATGATAAACAGTAATTCTTTATCATGCAGTATGCATGAAAAGTAAAAGTGCACTATATAAACTAAATGATATGTTTCAAAAATATATTGTTAAGCAGAGTTTCTTGGTTTCTTGGTTTTAGGCCTGGTCACAGACCGGGCCGCGGGGGCGTTGACCCCCGGAACTCTCTCCAGGTAAACTCCAGGTATACATTTGTTTCTTCTCAAATTGATATTTTTTTTTAATTATTTTTGGGTTTGCCTAACTACTAGCTAAAAAGACCAGTCTACATTGAATTATGCAACTAAACTGATGTTTTTGCTCCCAGCTGAGGTTCCCACTAGTCCCTATTTCTTCTTTCAACAAACTGGCCGTATCCCACCAAGGCAGGGGGGCCTAAAAAGAAAAACAAAAGTTTCTCTTTTTAACTTTAGTAATGTATACAGGAGAAGGAGTTACTAGCCCCTTTCTCCCGGCATGTTAGTCACCTCTTACAAAAATCATGGCTTATGAAGGAAGAATTCTGTTCCACTTCACCATAGAGATAAGAGGAAATAAACTAGAACAAATAATTAGACAAAACACCCAGAAGGGTGTGTGTATATATATACGGTGGAACGTCTACTTACTAGTGCCCCAACATGTGAGTTTTTCAAGATACAAGCAGTCGTTTGGTCAATTTTTTACTTCTAGATGCGAGTGGGCCTCAAGGGAGGTTCCTTGATGCTGGTGAGGGGCTCTTGGTCTTGATCTAGGGAATTGGATCTCAGTTGTTTGTTGGACTATCTTTTTGAAACTTGGGCAATGAATGAAGGAAAGAAGCTTCTTAACGTACACCAAAATTGAAAGAAATCGGACCATAAATAACTGAGTTCACTACTCCGCCATTAGCTGCCCCTTAGCAGTATATTTTCATATGGTTTTTATGGTTGTATTCTTGTTTCTTTGGTTTCATTTGATAGAATGAAAGATATATTACAGAAAGGGATGTGAATTTGATTGCTTTCACGAGGAAAAGTACCTTGAAATTGAGCTCAAAGTAGTGGAAATGTTCGATTCTTTGGCTACATTCAAGAATAAACAAATGACATCACTGTCCAGTACGCGTCCACCTGGCCAGTCTTATACGCAGTCACGAATGGGTTGACATTATTTATACAATTATTACAATAATGCAGTAGTCTGTATAACAGTAAATCTTCTATTTTTTGTGTGAATAAAAATTCCAAATGGTAAGCAAGAGTATTATTATAAGAATATGTACATACGAATTAATAATAATAATCCGCTGGAGCTATGTAATGACGCTTGTGTAAGTCATTTCCTAAACATTCTGAAAGGGAGGAAGAAATAAACCTCCATGGACAGTTTTTTATTGAAATACCCTGCAGATGAAAGTGTGACAAGCGTGGAGAAAAGGCCAAAAATCAGTGAATAATGAAGTAACGTTAAAATAAAAATTGTAGCATTTAAGTGCGTTGGAGCTACATAATGATGCTTGCTGTGCCCAGCATCTCTTCTCCATCTCCAAGGTAAATGCTGTATTACTTCATAATTTCTTTACATTACGTATTATTATTATTATAATTTTTTGTTTTTTCAACAAGTCGGCCGTCTCCCACCAAGGCAGGGTGACCCAAAAAAGAAAGAAAATCCCCAAAAAGAAAATACTTTCACCATCATTCAACACTTTCACCACACTCGCACATTATCACTGCTTTTGCAGAGGTGCTCAGAATACAACAGTTTAGAAGCATATACGTATAAAGATACACAACATATCCCTCCAAACTGCCAATATCCCAAACCCCTCCTTTAAAGTGCAGGCATTGTACTTCCCATTTCCAGGACTCAAGTCCGACTATATGAAAATAACCGGTTTCCCTGAATCCCTTCACTAAATATTACCCTGCTCACACTCCAACAGATCGTCAGGTCCCAAGTATCATTCATCTCCATTCACTCCTATCTAACACGCTCATGCACGCTTGCTGGAAGTCCAATCCCCTTGCCCACAAAACCTCCTTTACCCCCTCTTTCCAACCCTTTCGAGGACGACCCCTACCCCTCCTTCCTTCCCCTATAGATTTATATGCTTTCCATGTCATTCTACTTTGATCCATTCTCTCTAAATGACCAAACCACCTCAACAACCCCTCTTCTGCCCTCTAACTAATGCTTTTATTAACTCCACACCTTCTCCTAATTTCCACACTCCGAATTTTCTGCATAATATTTACACCACACATTGCCCTTAGACAGGACATCTCCACTGCCTCCAACCGTCTCCTCGCTGCTGCATTTACCACTCAAGCTTCACATCCATATAAGAGTGTTGGTACTACTCTACTTTAATACATTCCCTTCTTTGCCTCCATAGATAACGTTTTTTGACTCCACATATACCTCAACGCACCACTCACCTTTTTTCCCTCATCAATTCTATGATTAACCTCATCCTTCATAAATCCATCCGCCGACACGTCAACTCCCAAGTATCTGAAAACATTCACTTCTTCCATACTACTCCTCCCCAATTTGATATCCAATTTTTTTTTATCTAAATCATTTGATACCCTCATCACCTTACTCTTTTCTATGTTCACTTTCAACTTTCTACATTTACACACATTCTCAAACTCATCCTCTAACCTTTGCAATTTTTCTTTAGAATCTCCCATAAGCACAGTATCATCAGCAAAAATTAACAGTGTCAGTTATTTGAATTTGATTCCCCATAATTTAATCCCACCCCTCTCCCGAACACCCTAGCATTTACTTCTTTTACAACCCCATATATAAATATATTAAACAACCATGTTGACATTACACATCCCTGTCTAAGACCTACTTTTACCGGGAAGTATTCTCCCTCTCTTCTACATACCCTAACCTGAGCCTTACTATCCTCATAAAAGCTCTTTACAGCATTTAGTAACTTACCACCTATTCTATATACTTGCAACATCTGCTACATTGCTCCTCTATCCACTCTATCATATGCCTTTTCTAAATCCATAAATGCAATAAAAACTTCCCTACCTTTATCTAAATACTGTTCACATATATGCTTCAATGTAAACACTTGATCTACACATCCCCTACCCACTCTGAAGCCTCCCTGCTCATCCGCAATCCTACATTCTGTCTTACCTCTAATTCTTTCAATTATAACCCTACCGTATACTTTTCCTGGTATACTCAGTAAACTTATTCCTCTATAATTTTTACAATCTCTTTTGTCCCCTTTCTCTTTATATAAAGGGACTATACATGCTCTCTGCCAATCCCTAGGTACCTTCCCCTCTTTCATACATTTATTAAACAAAAGTACCAACCACTCCAACACTATATCCCCCTGCTTTTAACATTTCTGTCATGATCCCATCAGTTCGAGCTGCTTTACCCCCTTTCATTCTACGTAATGCCTCACGTACCTCCACCACACTTACATTCTGCTCTTCTTCACTCCTAAAAGATGGTATACCTCCCTGGCCAGTGCATGAAATTACCGCCTCCCTTTCTTCCTCAACATTTAAAAGTTCCTCAAAATATTCTCGCCATCTACCTAATACCTCCCTCTCCCCATCTACTAACTCCCCTACTCTGTTTTTAACTGACAAATCCATACTTTCCCTAGGCTTTCTTAACTTGTTTAACTCACTCCAAAATTTTTCTTATTTTCATTAAAATTTCTTGACAGTGCCTCTCCCACTCTTTCATCTGCTCTCCTTTTGCACACTCTCACCACTCTCTTCACCTTTCTTTTACTCTCCATATACTCTGCTCTTCTTATAACACTTCTGCTTTGTAAAAACCTCTCGTAAGCTAACTTTTTCTCTTTTATCACACCCTTTACTTCATCATTCCACCAATAACTCCTCTTTCCTCCTGCCCCCACCCTCCTATAACCACAAACTTCTGCCCCACATTCTAATACCGCATTTTTAAAACTATTCCAACCCTCTTCAACCCCCTCACTACTCATCTTTGCACTTGCCCACCTTTCTGCCAATAGTCGCTTATATCTCGCCCGAACTTCCTCCTCCCTTAGTTTATACACTTTCACCTCCCTCTTACTTGTTGCCACCTTCCTCTTTTTCCATCTACCTCTTACTCTAACTGTAGCTACAACTAAATAATGATCCGATATTTCAGTTGCCCCTCTATAAACATGTACATCCTGGAGCCTACCCATCAACCTTTTATCCACCAATACATAGTCTAACAAACTACTTTCATTACGTGCTACATCATACCTTGTATATTTATTTATCCTCTTTTTCATAAAATATGTTTTACTTATTACCAAATTTCTTTCTACACATAGCTCAATTAAAGGCTCCCCATTTACATTTACCCCTGGCACCCCAAATTTACCTACTACTCCCTCCATAACATTTTTACCCACTTTAGCATTGAAATCCCCAATCACCATTACTCTCACACTTGATTCAAAACTCCCCATGCATTCACTCAACATTTCCCAGAATCTCTCTCTCTCCTCTACACTTCTCTCTTCTCCAGGTGCATGCACGCTTACTATAACCCACTTTTCACATCCAATCTTTATTTTACTCCACATAATCCTTGAATTTATACATTTGTAGTCCTTCTTTTCCTGCCATAGCTTATCCTTCAACATTATTGCTACTCCTTCTGTAGCTCTAACTCTATTTAAAACCCCTGACCTAATCCCATTTATTCCTCTCCATTGAAACTCTCCCACCCCCTTCAGCTTTGTTTCACTTAAAGCCAGGACATCTAGTTTCTTCTCATTCATAACATCCACAATCATCTCTTTCTTATCATTTGCACAACATCCACGCACATTCAGACTTCCCACTTTGACAATTTTCTTCTTATTCTTTTTAGTAATCTTTACA